GTAAAAGGTCCAAAGGTAAAATAGAAAAGTAAACAAATCTGGAAAGTTGTGAAGAGAATGTACTTTTTTACATCATCATCAAACAGTCTTTTATTTACTAAGAAAAGGGTAAAGCTCATACCTAAGATTACAGCTCGTACCCACAAATACTCTTGCTCCTTGTTTACCGCCGCAACATTTAGAAAGCTCCTTGATAGCTGATTCCAAACAAATATCACAGCCAATCATGCTTTGGGTACACAGTACCATTCCATACAGTTTATTTGCCCCAAGTCTATCCTCTCCGGCCGCGTAAAATTCCACCACGGGACGATCTTTGGGCATAATGGCTTTCTGCGTCAGCTTGTGGAGGAAATCTATTGTTTTATGGTTGAACGAGTTTGTATCTCCACGCACATTGTTTGGATTTTGCATTGAGAAAGTATTCTCGTAATCAAAATTTATCTTTCTTATTTTTCGATGCTAAGTCGTCCTGTGAAATATCGAGATAACATTGGTCGTACCATATTTTTGCCGCTTTGTTTCTCTTACATCTCCTGCAAATCTATCATATACATATTCATATATGCTTTATGAGAAATTCCATTTTGAATCATGATATAATCCTTTAAGGCAAAGTGATATGTTTTGTTTTTCTTATATATTCTTACAATGAATGTTATAGATTTTTTTTTAATGATGAAAGGAAAGTGGAGATATATAAAATATTTAACAAGTTTAGTAATAAATAAGAATTTAATAAACATCCATAATTTTTTTGAAAAACATACTTCTTTTGAGATACACTTTTTCAAAATACCATGACTCTTTTCTTCAAAACCAATTATTTATAACATACTTATAAAAGTTTATCAATGAATGTAATGTTTTATAACCACTTATCAAACATATTATATTTTATAACATGTTTTATATAAATTTTAAATTAATTTTATATCCTTTTATGTTGTTAGTTATGAAATCAAAGTTTAATTTTGTTCGAGTTCTATTTTTTTTATGGTGTAAGTTTAGTTAACTTTAAGAAAATATGTTTCGGTTTGCAGAATATAAACTTTAGAAAACGTAGACCATTTTATAACATATATTATAAAAAAATATAAAGTAATTGAAAACATAATAATTTTTGCATTTATATAACTACTTTATAAAAACTTATAAAACAATGGTGTTTCTAAAAATTGAGAGCATATAGAAGTATTTTTCGAAAAAAGTTCTCATATTTTTGTGGTATTTTGAACCTTTCTATGAGATTAAAGATACAACTATATTTTAGAAACTCAAACTCTTTTATTTGATTAAACCAGAAAAACACTACGTGGGGGTTATTGGTTTTTGTTACGATGAAGGAAAACTTACAATCCAACTAGTTCGCGGATCAAGTTCAAATCAATTAGAACATGTTTCATTTTTCTCCATATTTATATTTCACTTTGGATCAGTATTGTTTTCATCAAATTGATTCACATAAAATATCATTTGGACATGTCACTAACAGATTTTATTTATCTACATCTTTTTGTTTTTATAAAAATAAGTATATCTAGTAAAATCACTATATTAAAAAAAAATTATGTTTATTCTAGAATATATTATTCATACCTATAGCACAACACTAAGCATAGTTTATAAATGTAACTATGAGATGGTAAATTCATAATAATTTAGTAACATTACCCCAGCAACCGCGGTAGCATAGCAAGAGCGGCACTTGGAACCGTAAGAGTCACCGCGACATTGGAATATGATGGTGATCACATTAGGAGCAGTGCCAACAGACATGGCTATTTCTTCATTCAGCACGGTAGGGACGGATTCGGTGACATCGGTGAAGTGTTTCTCGAATTCACTTCCAGGCTGATATTTCCCTTTTCTGTCCAGGCATTTGTGGTGCAGATACGCATTGGTAAGGTTCAACGACGAAACACTGCGTGTAAGGACTTGTAAGGCCAAGATGTGGACAAAAACTATGTGTTTTGACAGAGAATATAAAATGCACATTGTTTTAGATTTTAATTTTTTAAAGCGGGTTAGATGATGTTTTTCTTGACGAATGTGATGTTTATACAAGAGAAATGGAAGGATTTTAGCTGATTGGCCTTATTAGTAACTAGATTAACTAACTATCTCAACAGTATTTATTCTGATTACTTAATACAAAATTCGATGGAACTTTCACTTTGTAGAAAACAATTTTTTTATTGAGAGAGAAAGGGGTGGGTATTTTCAGCGACTCATGGGGACGACGACCAAACGAAAAAGTCAAAAGTTCAAATTTTACATCTCTATTTTTCAGCAACAAAATTTCTGAAAGTTTACCATTCTTCGACTTATCTGTTTCCATCACAAGATATCACAAAGAAGAATTTTTGGGGTATGGTTGTGAAGAACAGACCAACACTATCAAAACATGAATACACAGTTTCAGTCAAAGATGGTTTAGAGATGGTAGTAGTGGAAGATGCACCTCAGTAGAAACATTTCCTGGTTGGAGTATTGGACGGTTCCTATCG